AAAAAAAAAAAAAAAAAGAGAGCTGAAGTGATGGACTTGCTCCAGGTTTATGGGACAGTCCAGGAGTGAAAATCAGAGTGTGGCCTGCAGAGGGAAGAAAAGAGCTGTGGTAGCACTGCCGCAGCTTCCCGGGGGTCTGCTCCTCTTCCTGCTGCTGTGCCTGCTCCCCACCGCGCTGTTCATCCGGAGCAGGCTCTGAGCTGAATAGCTTGCCTTTAAACGTTAAATACATTTAAAGCCCATTCATATCAAACCAAAATTAAACTGCTGGATTTTATTCAACAACCGTTCCCCCTGAGAAAGGGCTGAGAAGAAAATAATGGTTAGCTGGATGCCTCGCCCATCCAGAACGCAGAAAATATCCCCCCAGGAGGTAAAGTGAGAAGTGAGGCTTGGCTATCGCCTTGCCTCATTGCATTGTTATCTGTATATAAGCCAATTTCTCAATCCATTTAGAAATTCACTAATTGTCATTGGAGCTATTTGCTGATGACTGTGAAGTAGCTTCGTAATGAAGAGGAAGTCCATTTATTCGTTAACATTTGCAAAAATAATTGCCTGTCACTTAACCGAACATCCTTTGCTCCAGAAGCACTTGCTCTTCAGCACTTTTTTTTTTTTTTTTGAGCTGCACGCTTTGAAACGCCACTTATAATTTCCAGTCCCTGAAGGGCTCATTCTCAGCTGCTGTGACATGAGTGAGGGAGCACACTCCACAAGAGGACACTAAATGTCCTGTCACTTTTGCTGCAAGGAGAGGAGAGTGTATTAATGGTGCTGCAGGAGGCCTCCAGCAGGCAGGTTGCAGCTCCGAGGTACTGCTTAAACTGTGCAGTTTTATGGGGCTGCTGCTCCTCTGCAGCCTGCTTGCACCTCTGCTGGGTACCCCAATGGTGCTGGGAGAGGCCATGGCTTCAGGGGCTCAGTGCCAATGGGCCCATCTCTGGCCGAGGACATGAGGCACGTGAGGTAGTCCCAGCCCCACTATCTGAGCTCCACAGGCTGTCTTCTGCCCCCATTTTGCTAGGCCTGCTCTCAGCCCTCACAAAGGCAAAAGAAAGACTGCATGAAGCTAGGCATACACCAGGGCGTGAGTCCTGGAGGGAGGGGAAAAGGCTCTTTGGGGGGTAGAGGAGCAATGTCTCAGGAGGGGAATGTGGATGTGGAGAGGATGGAGATCTGTATTCTTCAGCTCAGCCCTCTGTGCCCATTAACCCCATAAGCACAGCCAACACCTCCACCAGTACCTGTTCATGCCATGGGTGACACCCCACAACAGCTTCGTCCCCCATGCTTACTGGCTCACCCCTCCCCACCATGCCCAGCACTTCGTCTGCCACCACCACCACTCCCACCAACACAGATAAGACAAGACAACCTGCCCCTTAGCTTTGGGGAAGCAAAATTCAGTTTTGCCTACATGACTGAGGGGCTTTGAGGTGCTCTGTCTGCTGGGGAAGGTGGGTTTGCTGTAGCAGCTAACGAGAGCATCCAAGGTAGCTTGCCAGGTCCCCTGAAATAAGCAGGAGCAAACGAGTGTGCCTCCCCCAGAGCCAATGGAGATCTACCTGCTTGCAGCTGCTGGGCTTATGCTGGTGTAATATCTTTCACTCCAATGGCTGCTCATTTGTTTGTCATCTGCGTGAATTTTTATTGTTCCCCAGGCATGTGAATTCCCCCATCTGTTCCCAGGGCAGGGAGCGCCACGTCGCCTGGGGGTGGATAGATGCTGATGTTGACTTAAGAGTGTGTGGAGCAGGAGATAAGCGCTGCCCTGCTGCCCAGGCCGGGCAGAACCGTACACCTCGCACCATGCACCACACTTCTCACCCAGGGCTCCTTCTGCGGGGCTGGGAGCCAGGGTGAGCGTCACGCAACACCGGCGTGTGTCATCCACTTGGCTGTGGGCAGGGACAGCAGCCACGTCCCTGGTGGAGCACAGGAGGAGCATTCGTCTACAGCCGGCCCCGAGGAGTAGGGAGCCGGGCAACTCCTGCCTGAATGGGACCAAGGGCAGAAGGGCCACGAGACCACTGAGCAGCGAAGAAGGGCACCACTGCAGACACGCTTAAGGTACCGTCCATGTTTGAGATGCAGCCGCTGCAATCCTACCCAATTGCACCAGCAACTGAGTTGGCCACTGGGGCTTGGGATGATCCAGTTGGTGTAACAACACTTGACAGGGTCCTGCCACCATAAGCCAATGTCATTCTAGTGGGTCCAATGGACTCGTGATAGCTCACAGTTGCTGGCAATAGCTTATTAGACATATTTACTTTTCAGGAGTGTAAGCTTTCAAGTGTTTGCAAGTGTTAATTGCTGCTGGTACAGTGCCCTGGGAAAGTAGGGTGAAGGGCTTGGTTGGGCAAGTACTTTGGATTGGGGTCCCCATGGGGACCAGGATTCCTGGTTTGGGAAGACTGGAGACACTGGCTCTGCTTCTTGGGCAGGAATTTGATGTGTTTCAAGATTAGGCGACTGTCTTTTTGCTTTTGGGTGCTGCAGTGTTAAGAGGGAAAAGTGTGTGGGTGAGTGTAAATCAGCTCTATGCAGGGAGAGCTGCCTGTTTACTCCAGGGGATTTAGGCTTCCAGATATTTAATTTCTGGTAACTGTACTTCAGCTTGTTGAAACATTTCAGTCTTGAAAAGCCTCTTATGGATAATAAGACTACAGGGAGGTGCCACTCACAGAGGGCCTCAGACTGGGGAGCAGGGGTGGACGGGGGCCTTATTTTGGCAGCGCAATTAATGAGCAAGCAGGTAGCCAGCAATTGCAATAAAACGCTGGGAGAGAGGGAGATAAAACAAAAGGAGAGAAAAGTTTTGTTGCCTCCCTTGAAACCAAGAACAAGCAAAGCTCACCTAAGTTTAAAACGTCCTACCTGATATGTCATGGGGTGAGGGACCATGGGTGGTGGAGGGTGGGGGAGTAGGAGATGGTTCTGCTTTGAGGACCGGGGGACTGCCTGGAGAAAGCTTGTGCCCTGCAGCCAGCTCTGTTAATGGCTCTGTGAACCTGGCAGGAGCCTTGGGTGACCCTCCCAAAGCTGTCCCAACAAAGGAGCAGAGGGGCGGTGTGACCCACACCCTGTGTCCTGATTCAGAGGGCTGGTGATGTCAAGAAGAGCTAGGCTGGTGCTGGAGGGCCCCCACCTTGGCTCCAGACCAGGCTGGTGCCCTCAGCTGAGGTGTGCTGTCCCCCGTTAGCAGGTATGAGGTAGCTGCAGACAGAGGTAATGGAAGGACCTTTGCAGCCATGTCGGAGCTTGAGTCTTGGGGGCTGGTACTACAGTCAGGACCACCCTACGTGTGTCCCAAGTGTTCCCTGCTTTCTTTTAGCATCCAGCTAGAGCCCTTCATGATTTCTCTTCTGACAGGCCTCAGGGTAAGCCCTGCTGAGCCTTGGCAACGTGGCAGCCCCAAACCAAACCCCTCCCAAGGACATCAGTCGTAGCCCCTGCCTTTGCCCTGCCTTCTCCTACAGCAGCAACCCCTCCATAGGAGCACTCAGGAAACATCTCCAGCCTACTTGTGATTTCCCTGGTGCTACTGTGGTTGGGGAAAGTGAGGCAGGGAACTGACACTGTCTTGGAGAGGCATTCACTGCACTGTGGGCACTCAGCAGAAAGGAGAAAAGTAGCTCTTCCACAGCCAGTGGAGAGAGAGGAGATATCTTCAGAGAGTGACCTGGGCCAGCCATGGTCTGGAGATGTTTGTATTTATAAACTAAGGAGGAAATGGATGCCACAAGTCCCCATGGCTTTGAGGGTAGTGTCAGGAGCCAAAATCTGTGGGAGGCAAATGTCTTTCAGCATCATTAGGAATCACACTGAGAAGCCAGGTCTGTGCCCATCTGCCTGTCTCAGGCTTTTGGGTTATGACCATCAACTGAATTACCTGTAGGGACCATCCTGGACTCCTCTTGGCACCTCTGAGCAGGGCCCTGGTGCAGAAGGAGGTGAAGGCTCAGGTCCTGCCTGGCCCCAGCATTAAGAGGTGGAGAAGGGCCAGACATCCCATGCAGCTGACAAATGACTCTGCTGCACCAGGCAGCTGGTGGGATGGGGAGGAGAATCTGTGGTTCACAGGTTGCTGCCATGGTAGGGGACAGCCCCTTCCTACCTCTTGTGCCTCAAGACAGCTACTGCTCCTGCTGCCACTGCAGCTTTCCTGACTCATGTAGAAGACCTGCCATTGGCTCTGCTTGTCATGTGCATGCTGGAGAGCCTGCCAAGAAAACGCAGCTGTCTCCTCCCTGTGCTTCCCCCTGTTGCTATCTGCAAAGTGCATGTACAGTGAAAAACGTGCTCCCTGTCTGCTGACCACCCGCTGGGGCTGTGGGTCTCTCTGCAGCATGGAGTCTCTCTGAGCTGCAGCACAGGATGGGGAAGGAGGCACCACATGGCTGGACCAAGTGAGGAAAGGGGCACTGATGCCCTTGCCTGGGGCTGGTCCTGCCCCTGGGGGTTGTGTGCAGGTGCTGCACCCATTGTGCACAGATCAGTATCCTTACCACCCACACCAGGAAGAAAGACAAACTCCCCTCTATGGCAGCTCCTCTTAGGATGAACTTTCCTCTCTAGGACACTGTGGAGAAAGTGATGTGAAAGAGGGGTGGGGGACAAGACAAAGTGACAATTATCTGTTTGCCATCCCAGTGGCTGTCACCAATGGGTAAATGAGCAGGAGAGGGGACTGCTGGTAAAAGGACACAGGAGCATCTGGGAGGGATGCTTACACCACAGAGCTATGGGGATGTGCTCACTGATGAACCATGGAGCCAAAGCTCCTGCTGGGGCCTGCTGGGAAACATTAGCCACAGTCCTGCCTGGCTCCCGCTTCCCACTCACACGTTCTTCACCCTGTTAATTATTACAAAGGAAGCGATGAAGGCCAATGTGCACCAAAGTCCAGTGTGAGAGAGAAAATCAGCAATTTGCTTCCAGCCATGAGCCAGCCGACTCCAGCCACCACAGAGCTGCCCGCACTGCCGGGGGACATGACAGTGGCCTTTGGGGTGGCAGACATCATCGTTGTGGTTTTTTACTTCATCTTTGTCCTTGTCGTCGGGATATGGGTAAGTCCCCAAGGTGACTGGGTTTAGGTCTGCCTGAGGTGGAGAGCCTTTTATCCTCCCTGGACCCCTCCTGGGTACAAAGGTGTTTGCCTGCAAAGGGCATCCTCTGCACGCAATGCTATTCCATGGCCTATTGAGCAGGTTTGTGGGGTGACAGCGATCGTCCTGTGAGGCCTCACCCCTACCCTCACATGGGGACAACCAAGGGGTCATTCCCTGGAGGTTGTTCTGGGGATAATGTCTACCTCCCATGCTGCAAATTAGTCTCACACTGGGGTGTGGGCAGGCAGAGGGCAAGGGCAAGAGAAAAGCTGGGTTTGAGGGGGAGAAGACTGAAACGGGACTGTAAAAAAGCTTTGGAAAGATTGTTACTAATGCTTTCTTTGTATTGCTTTGCAAAGGCCTCTTTCATAGACACCTACAATCTTCTGTTTGGCTGAAGTGTTTTTTCTCATTCCCAATTTGTACATTCAAGGAGAAGTCATTAAATAGGTACAAGCAGCTTCCTTCCAAAGCTGGACTACCAGAAACCTACACAAACAGAGGCAGAGGCAATGGGTGAAGCCTGGCATACTTAACAGATCCACAAAATAATTTTTGGAGCTGATGCTTAGACCGGGCATTCAGGCTTCTCCTGGCTTGGTGGCAGTGCTGCTCACCAGTCTGGGTGCTGCCATGTGTATAGGCATTTTACATCAACTATTATATTATAGTGCCTGACTGCAAGTTCCTTGTTGCTGCAAACAGCAAGCACAGTCGGCCTCAGTCACATCAGAGGGGCTTGCTGGCCTATGGACATCCTATTGCTCTTGAAATCCCTGCAGTTCTCATGCAGTGCCTAGATGGGGCTGTGTGATGTGACCATACAAGTGTGGGGCTGCTGGAAACCCTGAGTCCCAAACAGTGGGAAGAAGCAAGGCAGCAGGAGCTGCAGCAGAACACTGCTAGCCATCCTGGAGTGACCCTGAGTGTCATGCACAAAGACAGTCCTTGATGGCATCCCATGGGATACAAGGTTGTCCTCTGATTCTCACCCCTGTGCCATGTTCTCCCTTATTTGGCTCTGAAGGCATTTGTTAGGGGTGCTGGACAGTGAGGAGAGAAATGCTTCCTCTTAATGCACATCATCATCAGAAGGCGGGCAGCCTTTCTTGGAGCTGCAAACGTGTACCTTCACATGGCTGAGAGCAGCCAGACCCCTAGATTTCTCAAAATTAGATGCCTTTCACAGGGGCCCTGCTTCAGCTTGCGTCAGAGCTATGCACTACCTGTCTGTGCTGCTCTGTGTAGGGTGAGCCAGTTGACTGCAGTGACTCCCAAGGGAGTAGGACTAGGGTGGTGCAAGAGGTTGCTGATGGAAAGTTTCAAGGCTACTGGGATGGGCATTGAATCTGACTTGAAAGTGGGTGAATGGAGGAAAACACTTTTTTTTCCCTGTGCTTCCAGTCATCGATACGAGCAAGCCGGGGGACCATTGGAGGCTATTTCCTAGCTGGACGATCCATGACTTGGTGGCCTGTGAGTGAAATGCATCCCACTGTTTCTCATGATTCAAAAGAAATTCCACATGTAAGGAGGGCAGGTCTAGTCAGGGGGCCCAGTCCATACGTGTTTTGACTGTAGCCTTGAGATGAAGAGGATCCACCAGGAATCATCCCATGCAGCTTTGCTAATGGGCTACAGTGTGGATCTGCTGGGCCAAAAGGATAGTTCAGCATCTTCAGGTTTTTTCATCTCTCAATTTCTCTGCTAAAGTCAGCAATAAAAATGTTCATAATGGAAGTGAGGGAGTGCTGACTGCCTAGCTGGGTTTGAAACTCTTTGGCCCCAACTTACCAAAGATGCCATTGTCCCCAAGCCAAGAGAGCATTAGGTAATCTAAGAGCATTCTATCCAGTAAAAAAGCATTTGGAGACTGAAGAAAAAATAATCCCAAAGCCCAGGACTTTCTGAGCCCTTGCTGCGTTAGAGCAAATTTGAGATTATTGACTAACTATGTGAAGGATATAAACTTCAAACCACCGAAGTATAAATATTCACTATGAAGAAGAAAAAAATATATATTGCAGGCGCCTTTTCTTAGGAGTGAAAGGTACATATAAAGATAATCTAAAGTTTGAAAGGAATAAAAATGCCACAGAAATAAAAATCCTTCTCAGCCAATGCCAGACTCTAGCACCGTATACCCCTCCGGTGAGTCATGGGTAACGGAATGCACTTCTCAACGAAAACACTGTATTTTTTTCTTTTTTTTCCTTTGGATGTATATTGCCCATAAATTCACTAGATTAGATTTTCAACCTCTTCCATCAGAGACACATACACCTTTCTAAAATCTGTTATTTCTTAAATGTTCTTTATACTTCTGTCTCGGCCAAGTGACATTTAATGGAAAAGCTTAGCTTGATGGTTTTCTCTAATTAGGAGGGGAAAATTTAAAAGATACTAAAATGGCACATTTTCCCCTCAACATTGTTCTTTTTTTCTTTTTATTTCTTTTTTTTTTAAAAAAAAAAAAAAACCAACAACAAAACCAAAAAGAAACCCGAAAAATATTCCTATTGCCTTTGGCTCCAACCACAGATGGCTACAGAGTCTGTTGGGTACAGGTTGGCTCTTGGCTCTCCTGACCTGATTCCAGGTTCAAAGCAACCTCTAATACTGTTCACTTTGCAATTTTGTTTGTCAGAGAGCTGATTCCACCTCTGCAGCACTCCTGCAGGCTCAGCTCCTCGTGGCCTTCACCTTGAGTACATGACTGGCTTACATGTATTTTACTTTTTTTTTACAGGGGTGGCAGATTTCTGCTCTGTGTTAGGCAGCATTAACTAAACTCTGATATTACATTGCTGCTCCTCTGTAATATATCTTCTGTATTTCTGTTTCTGATATAGATATCAGGAAAACTGTTTGCACCTTTTGAGAGCATCAGTCCCCACCTTAGTTGCAAATTCATGTTACAGCAGGCAGCTCTCTAACCAGAAGTTTTCTTAGACAGACAAGAAAGCAGAGCTTTTGGCAGGAATCAGTGTGGGTGTTGATGCCATATTAATGTTTTACCTTGCTCAAAGGTGAGAAGCAGATCAAATCCCATCATTCTTTATTTCACATTTAGCAGTACTAACGAGAGACAAGCTCCTTGTAGGCGATGTGGCTAAAAGCAAAATTTCTCTGCAGACAAAAGGGCTAGACTTGTCCTTTGTGTAACTTTGCATTTGACCCTGACAGAGATTTGGTGTTGGCATACAGAAAGGAGGTGAGGCTTTTGCCCAATAAAAGTAGTAATTGTCAGATAGTCTTTGTTCTGTTTAAAGCACCTTGGAGCTTGCATTCTTCTAATTAGGGTGTCAATGAGCCATGGTAGGGACAGCCTACCACGCCTACAGCCTACAGTTAAAGTTAACCTGAGGCATTTGCATTTTCCAGCCTACTGCAGAGCTGAATATCTTTGAACCTATGTATAGACATTAAAAACAAAAGGCCTGCGTGTTTCTAGTGTTGTCCCTGCTATGGTTCAGGAATCTCCTCCCTTAGGAGGAGCTCCAAGAGAGCACTCCTGTCACCTTGGCTGTGTAAACCACCACATGCATGTTCAGTGCAAGACTTAAAAGAGGCTGGGCTCTCAGCAAGACATGGAGATGTAGAGCAAGGGTCAGCAAGGTTGGAGAAGGCACGTTGCTGGCTGAGTAACAAGGGAATGGAGAAATCCATCATCTTTCATGGACACAGAGGTATCTGTGGCTGTCCCAGACTTCCTTCACCCCGCTGTAGTCCCCATAACAGGCATGTATCTCAGAAGAACCGTTGACAAAGTGAACTCCGATTCTGAGTTTAAGCTTTGCATTGGAGTGGGGGCAGTGGAAGGGAGCAGGCACACCCATTTTAAGATATAAAGCCAGTTTTCTTTATAAAGGAAAACCCAACTCTCCATTTGCACCCAGCTACCTACCTACAAGGAAACAAGGCCCTAGGGGAAGAGAGTGCCCGGCAGAAATGCTTGGGCTGATACAGAAGTTCCTCAACGTGACTTTCTGGGTTTTGTGCCTGTGCCATGTGTTTCAGATTGGAGCATCGCTGATGTCAAGCAACGTGGGCAGTGGCTTATTCATCGGCCTGGCGGGCACTGGAGCAGCTGGGGGCCTTGCTGTTGGGGGCTTTGAGTGGAACGTAAGAGTCATTTATGTTGTCCGCTAAGATGTCACTGTTTACAAAGGGACTGGGGGTTTGTCTCCAAAATCAGATGCTAATAGTGCCAGCAACTACAAGGCTGGCTTCTCAAGCTTCAGGAAAGAAGCTGCAGACATTCAGACAGCCTTAAAAACATGAGATCTTTATTTTAGTTTAAGTAGAATCCACTAAAATTATTAGCTCTTTGACCTTCCCAGAAGCACATGGCCATATTTTTAAGCTTTAGTCTGCACTCACCGAGATTAAAATAAAAGATAATGAATGCTGAAAAGGTACTTGCATAATCGCAGGATTCTGGGTACAGGGAGTTTGAAAAAAAGCAGCATGTGCTCTTAAATTCAGTGTAAAGCCGTGAGAATCAGCAACACTGCATTCACCTGTCAGCTGCCAAAATGTGACATCTCTGGGGTGAACATCTGGGTGTGAAGGCAGGTCTCATTCTGCCCTATTGAAGTGGCCTGGAAAATTGCCACTGACACCACACAGAGCATGAAAACCAGGCCCTTTGTGTGTGATGCTAATGAAATTTCTCAGCTGCACTGATGAGGAGTGAGATTAGTGCCAGCCTCACAATAAACATCACTCACTTAACTCTAAATCTCCTGTCTATATCAGCAGAGATTGCTAATAGTCCCAGATACTTACCAAGCACAGGTAGGGCCCACCAAAAGCTCTTTCCTGGGATTTCTATTCACTGCACTGATTTTTTTTCTAAACCATGAAGATCACCTTTAATACCTTTGTGAAGAAACCAGAGCCTGTGTTCATCCTGGTGCATGTAGGACATACCAATATCACTATACTTTAAGTAAATCTATTCAAGTCATTTTAGAAGCCCATGAAGACAAGATTGTATGTCAAGGCAAATCTAGCTTCATGAGTTTAGAGTCATTTCTTTCAGATTGGAAAGGGGCCTTAGATATACCATTATTCTCTCCCTTTGTCATGGGACATCACTCAGCTGCAGGGATCATATGAACATCTTTTACCTAAGCCAGTCCCTGCCGCTGCAGGAGCCATGGCTGTTCTCCTTGATAGCTCACAATCTCTGCTCATAGGGATAAGTTTCATTTCTGATAACTTAAATGATCAAAGTAAAATCTGGACTAATGTAATGTAAGGACTAAGATAATGGCCTGAGACAGCCAGGAGGTGAGGTTTGATAATCCAATGGCTTTTACTTATGTTCAAGATCTCCTATTGGGACTTTTGCTGGGTTTCAGAGAAGAAATACATGATGGGAGATGACTTTACACCTTCCAAAAGAACCTTCACCTGTGGCAAAGCAACTGAACTGCCCCTTTATCCACCAATGACAGAAGCACATCTGCATCAGCCTGCAAGGAGAACATCCCAGCAGTGTCTTGCTGTTGCTTATTTTTATGCTCCACAGGGACAGTCTGCTGCCTCAGCCTCATCACTTGCTAATCAAGCAACAAACAGATGCTCCCATCCTTCTCTGAATCACTTAACTCTTCACTGCCACAGCATCAGTGGTTTCAAAGGCCACCAAATACAACACCATCTTTCAGACATCCAGAGCAACAGAATGCACCATCTTGCCCAAAAGACCAGGAGATGGAACAGGATGTGCCACCCATGACAGAGAGACACAGGGCTTAGGAGGATAGCTTCAAAAGCTTCTAATTATATTGTAATAATCCCTCCATTTGTCTACTCATCTTCCGAGCAGGGAGAAAAATCAGACTGCTTCGTAAACATATTGCATGGCACCATACCCTTCTTTTTTCTTAGAAAAGATAGGTACTGAAAGAGCAGAGAAGGACCTTCCCATGTGTTGAATCATGTGCCTTTATTTTCTCTGTCTCATTAACAGGCTACCTGGGCACTTCTGGCTCTTGGCTGGATCTTTGTGCCTGTTTACATCGCAGCAGGAGTGGTCACCATGCCTGAATACCTGCAGAAGAGATTTGGAGGGCAGAGGATACAAATCTACATGTCTGTGCTGTCCCTCATTCTCTATATATTCACCAAGATATCCGTATGTATCCAATTGAACACAACCCTTGTGTCTAGGGCAGGGGTAGGTCATCCTGGTACAATGCAGGGCTGCTCAGAGGGAACTGAGATGTCCTTGAAAGGACCAGCTCAGCTACCAGAAACAGTAGTAGCATGTTAGTGTGCTGCTTTGCTCAAGTAAATACTTGCCTCTGTATTGATCATGGAGATGTATCCTAAGAGAGAGAGCCCTCATTAAACAGCAACGCACAGTGAGACATTTACAGGGATATGGCAGCTAATTACTAAACAGTACCATAAGCTGTATGCCTGCTTTTCCCCTTCTATCAGATCAAACCTTAGGCAATATAGACAGGGGAACTGCAGCATTACCCCATCTGAGGATCTGGCTGGTTGTATCTTGTAGATATGAAATTCTCTCAAATTATCATAAATCTGCTGTTGTTCTTGTAGCTGAGTTTTCAGCATTAGGTGTGTTATGGTTATTCCTCTCTGTCACTTGTGTTGTATAAGAAGGGTATGGTGAAAGGGAGGTAGGTCCTGGCTTAAGGCAAAACTCAACATCTTTCCTGGATTGCTTGTAGCATTGCACCCTGCTGGTAGCCAAAAAGCAATGTAAGCTACTGGATATTTCATTTAATTTAAATGCTATTAATAAAGAGGCAGAACTTAAGCTCAGAGATTTGCTAAGAACTACCTTGGAGGGAGAGGACTCTATTCCAGAGTCCATTACAGGGACTGAAAATGTCAGTCCTTTGTCTCCAGCTGATTGTCCCACGGCCAGTACAAGTCAGTTTTCACTAGACCCCACTGAAGTATTTAGATGTCAAATTACCTTGGAAGACATTGACAGGAGATGAGGCACCCATGTGCCTTTTGCAGCTCACTTCAGGGTCCTTCTCCAAGGCTTATTACGTCTCAGGTCCTGACAGGTGCATTAAGAGGAGTTCCAGGCTGGGAGTATGGGATAGATTTTCTCCTCTAATGGCCAGCTCTTGGTCATGTCACTCATTGCTGTCACCACTGCCTCCAGGAGATTCGCTCTGTGGGATTGAAGCTTACCCAGGACAAGGTCTTGTAAAGAGGCATTTGAAGCCTCTTTACCCATGAGGGGTAAATGGAAGATCTCTCCTGCAACAACACCACCATGTGCACAGCTACACAGTCAATGTGTGTGGCGAAACCAGACCAGTCTTTCAAAATGACCTTCAGCACAGCAGTATTTGCCAATGCCTTTCAGAGCAGGAGCCCGGCCTCAGTCATTGCTGTTTCATCTCAGTGGTTTCTCCTCTGTGCAGCTAATTCACGCATGGCTGACGGATGTGGCTGGTGGAGTTTATGAGCATGACAGGTGCTTTCTATTAAGCGGTGCTGTTGTTTGTAGAGAGCTCATTTAGTGGCTGGCTGGACAGCAGGCAGTTCGTTACAAGAAGGATTTTTCTCCGTGTGCTTTTTGCCCAAACATAGGTTAGCAGCTAGGGCATTGCAGAGTCTTCCCTGCTTGCAAAGAAAAACAGAGATCTTAATAAACAGTGTTGTCAAAGGACTGATCCTGCATGGCTACAGAGGTGTTTGTATTTCCTGCTGGGAAGTCAAAAACCAGAAGATACAGTGGTTCCTGTTGTGTACTGACAGTGTTTGTCCTGTCTCAGAATTGCAGAGGTCAGGAGTTGCACTGGGAGCTTGCTTTTAAGGTGTTTATTTCAGGCACAGCAAACAGAAATCTTGCCCCATCCCTTCTGTCTCCCTTGGCAAATGTCTTTACCTGTATCTCACCCCATAACAGATTTGCAGGTATCCTTCAAATTGATTGCCCAATGTACACATCTCCCATATCACCTTCTGCATTTGAATGATGTTATCTGTATAATTCCAGGTTTCGCCCAGTTTCTGGTTTCACTCTCTGCCAGTAGATCCAAATAAAACAAAGCTGATAGTGGTTTCTGTACTTCTAGTGAGGTCCTCAGCAAGTGTAACCTGTTTTTCTGGAGTCATTCTAGTATGCTGAACTACATGAATAGAAAAGGAAGCTGTTGACCTTTTCAGATAAATAAATCATGGCACAAGACATCAGTGATTCTTTAAGGGTCTTTCAAGCAGGAGACACCAGGAGACACCTCCTGGCCACTAGGCCACCAAGAAGTAGTTTTGGGAAGAACCTGGTCTCTGCTCTTTGCCCCCCCTTTCCCTCCCGTGTCTGCCTGCAGATACATTGGCGCCTGCTCCCCATGGATGTCTTCACAGTCAGCAAAAGGAGTGGCAGTTTCCACCAATACCTGTCTGTGCCAGTGAGGCTTACATGTCATGAAGGCTGCCTATAAGACAGTCTTTTGGTTGCTTTGTAGTCCATTGGTATGGGACCTTGATTTTCATCCTCTTGCTGCCCCAGCTCCTAGGTTCTGAGAGCTCTGACCTAGAGGAAGGATTTTCCTTACACTGAGAACAAGAAGGTTCACAGCCAACAGCCGCGTGCTCTCACTCCTCCTTTTCCACTTCACCTTCATGGTGTCCTCCCTCGTCAATGCTTTCAGCCGCAGAGGGCTGCAGGCTGCTTTATTAGATTTCACTTGCACGAAGCACTACTAATGCCAGACTGCCCTTGGGTTTTTTTTTTTTATTCCAGACAGACATTTTTTCCGGAGCATTGTTCATCCAAATCTCTTTGGGCTGGAACCTCTACTTGTCCACTGTAGTCTTGCTAGCAGTGACTGCTGTCTACACCATAGCTGGTAAATACCTGATTTTAAAAGAAACACTATAAACTGGAGCCTAGGATATAAGTTTCCCCTTTCCTACATGGGGGAAAGTATTCAGGTCCTGGTCTGAGGGATAGATTGCCCCAGATGCTGCCCTGTCACTCCCAGCTGTTGGGGACCTCTGGCTATTCCCCTCTCCCCTCCTGGCCCAAGGAAAACTAGTATGGGGGGAACATCACTGTTATCTCAAGAATTTTCTAACACTACAGAAGGCTCCTCGCTCCTGCTGTGTGTATAGTTACCACTGCCCGTATTTGCTCTTTTTTTCTCTTTTTGCAACATTAGCATCTTTAGATATTAAGATGCTCAACGGCCTCCAAGTCTTCTCATGAATGTGGACAAGCCCTCAGGCCATTCCTCACAGAAGGGTTTGTGACAGCTATAGGCTTCTGGGGACCATATCAGTGCCAGCTTCTCGCAATGGGTCTGTCCTGAAATCACAGGGCTGGGGCCAAGAAAAACCATTTTCCAGGTGAGGTACCTGTTTCATTGTACATGGTGATGCACTCTGCCTGGTGTCTCTGGTTCTCCTGACAGGTGGTTTAACGGCTGTGATATACACAGATGCACTCCAGACCCTGATCATGGTGCTGGGAGCTTTGGTCCTCATGTTCATAGGTAAGGGGAACCTGCAGTGTCATCATACACTGGTTTAATGGTCCCAAGGTCATTAGACCTTAGCAGAGTACCTCACCCTTCCATGTATGGTGCAGAAATGAGTTTTAACCACTCACAGAAGTGGTGCCAGCACAACTCTCATTTGCCAAGTTGTCAGACTTGCTCAATCCTTTGCACTAACTGTATGGAAGTGAGGTACTGGATAACCACCTCGCCAGTTTGAGTTTGCCTGGAATTGCCAAAGATCTTGCAACACTGCATTCCCAGAGCAAAATTCAGCTCTCACTATGCTCATGTAATTTTAGAGTAATTCTGCTGACTTTCCCTGTTGACTTTGGGAGTTGCTGTACATTCATTTGGGTGTAAGTGAGAGTTATAAGAAAATGAAAAAGCAACAAGGAACTGACCATCATGTGTATTTGCTTTAAGCTTTCTTGGCAAATAGAAGTATAGATGTATCTTGTTTCATGTCATACCTTCCTGCTTCAGGTCTTGGATGGTGTTTGAGCAAACACTAGATGCTGAGGACATTGTGGGGATTAGGATCATGGAGGTTTTCCTGCACTGATCCTCTTCCAGGATGCACTGTTAAAACCACAAGGACTCTGGGCAAAATCCAACTAACTCCTGTAGAAACCTTGACTGCCAAAAGCAAGGATGGAATGAAAAGAAAGGAGATGAGAGGACGATAGGAGAAAAGAAAAGTAATCATGAGACTCAGATAAGGAAATAACTTTGCAGGGAGCACCAGACCTTAAATCACTGTCATTTCCTTTTCAGGATTTGAAAAAGTTGGCTGGTATGAAGGACTTCAGGAGAAATACAGCACAGCGATACCAAAGATCATAGTCCCGAACACAACCTGTCACCTCCCACGTGTGGATGCCTTTCATTTGTTCAGGGATCCAGTCACAGGAGACATTCCTTGGCCTGGCCTTATATTTGGCCTCTCTGTGCTGGCTTTGTGGTGCTGGTGCACTGACCAGGTAAAGAAAGTCTTTCCCTCTCCAGGCAAACCACCACACTATTATTTCCAGTCCACTCCTCAGTTTGTGGCTCTGTGAGCTGAAACATGACTATGTATCACTGTGCAGGAGTTACTGCCTTTTTACTGGTCTAGACCAGAATATCTCACTCCTTCCACCTGCTCAGTAAGCTGCTAATTCTGTGCACTTCTTAGTGCAGAGAGAGAGCTTATTTTCTTCCATCTTTATCCCACTATGGGCTCGTGAGTACCAGGGATCTTCATGCCGTAAGCGTGACAAGGATATGAAAATGTGGATCTGGAGCTGTCTCTGCAGTGACCTTGTGTAGACCTCTAGACAAGCCATTCCTATTCCTGGAGGTCTCACATTTCTTATTCCTTTCCAAGGTACAAACAAGAAAAAATGTATTTGTTTCTCAAGACACGGTGCTTTTGTGTTTTAAGATGGGATAATTATGAAAACTCACCACTGAACTTTTACCAAAACACCACAGTCTGCTTCATTTCTGGTCTTTTGCTGCTGTACAGCTGCTGTCTCCAGTCCTTAAGGTGGCTTCATTTCAGTCAAGGGCAAAATTATTTCTGTAAAGAAAATTTCCATGCTGCCCTCTCCTATAGCCTGTGCACTGAGCTCTGAGCTGTGGCAGCAGGCTGCAGTCAACGGAGATGGGAAAGTTGCCATTGACATGCAAAACACCCTGGGATCCTGCTGGATCAAAGTCATCCATGAGAATGAGAATCAGAGAGAAGATGGATCCTGCTCTCTGCAGTAGTTCCGTTTTACTCTCTGCTCCCTTTCTGCACTGATTGCAGGTGATAGTCCAGAGGTCTCTCTCTGCCAAGAACCTCTCCCATGCCAAAGGTGGATCAGTGCTAGGAGGATATCTGAAAATCTTCCCTATGTTTTTCATTGTCATGCCAGGAATGATCAGCAGAGCTCTTTACCCAGGTAAGCCTTTCCATGTTCCTTGCCACAGGGCTTTATACCTTCCATGACCACTAATCCCACACAGGCCCTCCAGCACTTTCACATCTCAGAAACTCTGCTGCCCTGCAGGCACACTTGTATGTACTCCTATTGTACACTGATGTTCCCATGCCCTTCCTCCACTTCCAGTGCTCCCACAGTGGCAGAAGTAACTGGGACTATCCATATGGGGCATATTTTGCCTTTGTGGGCATATTGCTCCAAGCTGTGGACATTGCATGCCTCTGCCTATCTGGAGAAAATCAGTGAAGTGAAATACAAGAAGGACTGAGGTTGTCCTTCAGGTCCTATGGATTACTTTCATTAAGTATTTGGTGAGAGTTTTAGCAATCATCTGCCACATAGATTCATTCAATTCCTGGTGGATTATGCAAAACAGCTCTCCTTTGTGAAAGAGCAACAGTTGCCCTCATGTTGTCTCCCAAGGAGCTCTCATTTCAGGTTTCTCCATACCACTTCCCAGGAAGAATACCCTGGTTAAGAGGACCACTCCTGGAGGAAAGTATAAGTGTCTCAAGTGCCTCTCTCCCAGATTTCCTCAAATAGGAGTAACTCAGCCTGCAACACCCTTGATAACCCAGCTGACAAGTTCATGGAAACAGTCCAGTTCCCACAAATGACAAATCATCAAGGATTATAATTATGCAACATCCAGGAGAGTTATATCTGTGCCCTGAATAGAATCACAAAATGTCATCTCGAAGTTTCACCTTTATTTTATGATGTAAAATGTTCTCAGCTCCACTCATTCTAGCTGTATTCCAGCTGCACCTCTGAATTTATATAAAACCACACAAGGCATCAAGTTTTGTTCCCTTGAATTAAACAACCTATGGCTCAATGAGGTTTACATCAACTTCTTGGTATTTTCCTGTCTTCTACAGATGAAGTGGGTTGTGTCGACCCGGACGTCTGTAAAAGGGTCTGTGGAGCTGCAGTGGGTTGTTCCAACATTGCCTACCCCAAACTTGTGATAGAACTCATGCCTGATGGTGAGAAACCTTTACACTTGTGGAGGTGGGCTTGATCAGACTGCCCATATCCATCCTAAGGATAAGGAAATCTTTCTGCAGTTACCAGACATTGGGATGAAAAAACAGTGCTGAGAGGCCAAAGGTCTAGTCCTGATTTTCCTTCCCTTTTTTGCTCCCCCAGGGCTCCGGGGTTTGATGATTGCTGTGATGATGGCAGCCTTGATGAGTTCCCTCACCTCCATTTTCAACAGCAGCAGCACTCTTTTCGTTATAGACATCTGGCAGCGGATCCGCAGAAAGGCTTCTGAGCAGGAGCTGATGATTGTGGGCAGGTCCTTACATTTCTTTATGTCTTGTTGCTCTCACAATCTGTTTTGAGTGCAGCATTTACATTCTTCAGTCTGGACTCGCTGAGAAAAATCTGGTGCCTAAAATATAGAACAGGAATGCAGCCTGGGAAAGAGCATTATATTTTCCAGTTTCATCTCAGATAGACCTGGTCAAAGAGAAACAGTAAGTGTACCACTGAGCTAGGTAGATCATTGCCTCTCTCTTCTCTAAACTTAACATAAATACTGCCTTAAATGTAACTTTTAGAAAAGCCAAAGGTGCTCTGGAATCTTCAAGAACATGTTATTTTTGCATCAGACAGGAATCATACATTGCAATTACTCCTTTTTTTCCAGGGAAAAGTGCAGAGAGCTGGGCCTCCCAGCTCTTTATCTCTGTGATAAGTTATAGTGCCCTTTGCGAGGGCAAATTGAGTGTGAGTTCCCACGCTGTACCTAGAGCAAGCTTTAGTAGTGCATTATATCAGAGGCGTATAAAGTTCTCCTCCTGATAGCAGAATTCAAGCTGCATTCTACCTGTTTGTGGTGCTTTTCCTCTTCTGTTACGAGCATTAAGTTTCTAAACTTTGTTGTGGGGTGGGTGAAGGCTGCAGGCAATCTCATATGCCACCAGTAGTAAGAGGGAAATTACCTTTTGTTCAGCAATATGGAGAAACCTCTATAACATACAATGCAAAGATGAAGGAGGATTATGGTATGCACCTGAGACCCCAGAAGCAATTTTAATAAGTGGCAAATTAAGTGGAATTTGTCAAAGGCACGAGGCTGAGCACATTATCTCCTTAGAAAGGTGGCAGAAAGATTGCTTCCACAAGCTTTCAGCTCCCTTTCTCTGTCACATCCAAGAATTAGTCCTCTGAAGAATATACCACTCTCTAGGACACACCAGGTTGAAGGGCTTACGCTGATCCAGCTCACCATGGGAGCCACCATGCCCTTGTGGACCTTTCATGCGTGTTGGCTGGCAAGTCCTAGCTCAGATCACTCTGAAATCTGTGAAGTTAGCTCTGGGAATTGGTTGAATTGACTTTCTAGAAGAGCAAAATTTTCCCTTTTCCTGTGTACACAGGAAAAGTTGCTTCTTGAGACTGATCTGTGGGGTTTTTTCTTAGGAAATTCTGAGAGCAATTGGAAGTGTGTTTTGTTGCAAAACTTAATTTTTAGGTGGACTCCACCATCTGCAGAGCTAATATAATTTTATCTTCATCTTCCAGAGTCTTTATCCTCATCCTTGTAGTCATCAGTATTCTCTGGATCCCGATCATTCAATCAGCCAACAGTGGCAAGCTCTTTGACTACATTCAGTCTATAACCAGCTATCTAGCCCCACCGATCACAGCTCTCTTCATCTTGGCCATCTTCTGCAAGAGGATTAATGAGCCTGTAAGTGGAGTGTCAACAACCAATTTATATACATCTTTAATTTGATAGAATAAATAAATAACTCTTCCCTCACTACCTAGCTTTTGAGACTCTTTAAACTTAAAGCCAGTCCAGCTAAACAGTGACAATTAGACAACCTTTCCCTGGCACGCATTAGTGGATCCTAGCCCAGTCTCTAGTGTATGCACATTTGCTTCCAAGAAGCCACTGCAACTGGTACTTCTTAGCAGTCTCATTTGAAAGCACAAAAGGCAAAGTTGTTCTGCACTTTAGCAATGATGTGTCAAAGCCTAGTTGGAGGCATTTTGCTAGGAAAAGATTCTTGCATTGTCTGTGCTCTATCTATTCCATGTTCAAGGGCAGAAAGACAAAATGAGGGTTTTTAACTGAAAACATCCCCCTTTGACATATGTCAGTGTGGGTTTCCATCAGGCATAAAAGGCCTTGGGGAAGGGAAGGGAAAGGAAGGGAAGGGAAGGGAAAGGGAAAGGGAAAGGGAAAGGGAAAGGGAAAGGGAAAGGGAAAGGGAAAGGGAAAGGGAAAGGGAAAGGGAAAGGGAAAGGGAAAGGGAAAGGGAAAGGGAAAGGGAAAGGGAAAGGGAAAGGGAAAGGGAAAGGGAAAGGGAAAGGGAAAGGGAAAGGGAAAGGGAAAGGGAAGACTAACCAAAGGTATCATGCGGTGACCTTTCCTTTATGCTTGCCTTTTCTCAGGGTGCTTTCTGGGGCCTCATGGTTGGGCTAGCTGTTGGTCTTGTTCGGATGATCATGGAGTTTATTTATAGTGCACCATCTTGTGGTGAGGAGGACAGAAGACCAGCTGTGCTAAAGGACTTGCACTACCTCTACTTTGCCCTCATTCTCTGTGTCCTCACTGCAATTGTCATTGTCCTTATTAGTCTCTGCACCCCACCGATCCCTGAAGAAAAGGTAAGTGATTTGCAGTGACACCCTTTTCTCAGAGCCCCATTTGGTTTCCAAAAATCTCTGAAATATGTCCTTTTCTTTTCCTCCCATGGTTAAGAAATGGTGTGTAATGCATATACTGCAAAGAAGCCCTTGCTCCTCAGCTTTCTATCCCCCAGGTTGCATAGTGTTAATGCTTCCTGAGGCACCAAGTGCTTCAAATTGAGTGTGAGTTCCCACGCTGTGCCTAGAGCTGGGCAGACACCACAGCCCATCATAACTGGAATAGAAAGAAAAAAAGAAGGGGAAGGAGATGAAATCATATCACAGAGCACTGCTGAGGAAGAATTAAATATATCTAATTGTAGCATCTACCCTGTTTCAGCAGAACCAGCATCAATCTTGCAGGCAAACAAGATTAATATCTTTTGCAACATGGGCATTTAGGAAAATAACATTTTGTCCCAATGTGATCTCAATTACATTTAATAACTTTGAGTCAGGCACAACTTTCTTCTGCTTAACATGTTGAAATGGTGCAGAGTTGGGAGGCTTTATATAATAAAACCTTAAAGCAACTCTTCCCAGTCCCAAGTTTTAAAGCAGCTGTCAATATAAAAAACCTGCCATCTATGTCCAAACAAAGGTTACTGGATAGATTTAAAAGACCTATTTTTTTCCTGTCTAACTGCATGAGGAAATAAGGGTGATACTATCATAACATTTTCTATCTGTTGCTTCCTCATAACTTGTAAAGCATTAACCAGTTCCATCAATGTTTGATTGAATGTTAGTGGTGTCAAAGATACCCAGCTCCTAAAGATTACACGAAAGCAGGTGCTCAGATAGAGGAAAGGGGGGGAGAGAGAGACTGTCTTTGTGTCTGCTTTGAGATAAAGGCTCAGCTTTTATTAGCTATCAGAGGATCCACATGGGAGAGAGAAATACTGGCAAGGAGGCACCATTAGTTCTGCTGCTTACGTTGTTCACTACTGCTCAGGGGTGGCCAGATGGTTGCCAGCAATTAATTACTGTGGTTTAATGAGTTCCCACTCATCATCTGACCTGTGATAACTAAACATGTGCAGTGCTCCCTGCCCACAGCAATAGCAAGATAAGATGCATTAACATAGCACAGGCAAATAGTGAACATCATACCAATGGTTCAGAAAATGAAGAAACTGGCCACAGCACCTACAGGCTTTTTAGTCTGACCTCAGAGGTATAAAAATATTAAAAGCATGTTTTGAGGGGGGGAGTTCAGGATGAAGACCTCTT